AATTGTTACTACAAACAACTACAAAAGATTCTAAAACACATAGTGTAAGTGGGTTCATAATACCTCAATTTTGGGTAAGAGTAATTTTTAAAAAATTTTGATTTTGTTTAATGGAAGAAACTACAAACGAAAATATTGTTACTACAAACAACTTCGACTGAAATGTGATCATTTCCCGTAAGAAAAAATTACTTTGTTGAAAGTCGGGTGCCAACTTCACGGAAGTCATTCCTGCAACCATTGCAATGATTGTTCGGAAGTTTTTCCCATCAAAAAACAATGTTTGATCAAGACGCGATACTCCTGTTTTTCCATTATTTTTACTACGACGAAAGTTGCGTCACCCAAACGACTGTAGCTTCCAAACGAATGGACGAAATGCCATGAAACTTCATATATAGACTAGTGACAAATGAGAGTCTCGCAATGGCTCATGATCATTTTTTAGTGTTGCCAACTATTGAAAAATCCCGGGACTTTTCAGCCCATGTAGTATAATGTATATGAGTGAAACGTGGGTACAGAAGAAGGGATGGGAAGGGATGGGAAGGGAAAGGATAAGAAGGCGGTTACCAAAAGAGTATATTTGGGAAATACAAGAGGCAGGAAAAAGATATGAAAGAGGAAGAGCGATAGGAGGAGTAGTAATGGGAAGAAGAGAGAAAATAGAAATGGAGAGAGAGATAGAAAGAGGGGAGGGGGATGAGGAAGGAATAATGAGTATGAAAGTGAAGTTAGGAAGAGAATGGTGGAGGATAGTACGTGTCATCGGAAAAAAAATGCGAATTGCATTTGAAAAATAATCATCGAATCGAATACGTGAATCTGCTGACGACAATATTTCCAAGTATATGATAAACTGCGTTATGTCTGGAAAAGAAATCGGCGCGTAGTACCAATGTGGAAAGAAACGGTATATAGATTCATGATTTTCAGAAAGATTTAAGATTTAAGATTAAGTTGGGCTACCTACATCTTGCCATGTGTGACCCACATTGGCTTGTTACCATATGTGTCGCAGTACGCGATCCGGCACATCTCGGCGATCCGGCACTGCGCGACACGCGCGCGCGCGCGCGCGCGAGCGCGCGGGCCACCGAGTAGTTCGCAGGCCGCCGCTAGGCCGCGCATAGTGGCGGGCGAAAAACATGGGAGTAAGATTCGGTCTCGTACAGTATATAAGGAGGCCCGCACGGAAGCCGAGACAACTCATCACAGTGTGATAACCATCGGGACGATTCCCTTGCTGGAAGAGTCCTCGATACAGTACGCTGTCGTTCTTAACGACGGGTACAGCATACGCTGTCGTTCTTAACGACGGGTATAGCATACGCTGTCGTTCTTAACGACGGGTCCAACATACGCTGTCGTTCTTAACGACGGATCCAGCATACGCTGTCGTTCTTAACGACGAGTCCAGCATACGCTGTCGTTCTTAACGACGGGTCCAGCATACGCTGTTGTTCTTAACGACGGGTCCAGAGACCTTCACATACGCTGTCGTCTTTGACGACGGGTCCAAAGATCTTCACATACGCTGTCGTCTTTGACGACGGGTGCAGAGTGGCAACAATCTGGTCATCGGCAGTGAGAAGAGGCACTTCAAGAGGTCAACCCGACGTCTTCCTCACCTCCACGGAAATCGCGACGGCACAACACCCGGCCGTCCAGCTCTTCGGAGGAAACTCGGCCAAGAAGGAAGAGCCGTCCACGGGTCGTATCGGTGGTAACGATACCTCCAGCTGAGCACGTGGTCATCCGCCACCGCAAGGATCATAGGCGTCCTCCGCATCCGCAGGAACAGCCGCTCCAGGAAGAGCTAATAATTCCGACCACGCCGCCACGGGCGATAACTCCTGATTACCCGCTCGCGGAACTACCTCCGCTAATCCGAGACGAACAACCCGTTTCGCCAACTACAGCGGCGACTCCTCCAGCCGGAACTGACCACCACGAGACTGCCGTAACGTGGGAATTACAACGCCTAACACTTCAGCCACCACGGTTCAGTCGACCACGGCATCCACCTCTCGAACTTCTGGACCCGCAGAGTTCACGTCCAATATCGCCACGGTCCAACATCGTCACAGCGGACAAGTGGACACAGACTAGCTCCTACGCCACAGCACGGAGGCAGAAACAGCAGGGCCAACCAAAACCACGAGCTCCGCTTACTGAAACCAAGCAGCTCTTGTAAGAGCTCCACAACCGGCCCTTTTCAGGGCCCCACTCTATCAAACGAGAAACATCTCCTCGTACTCTCGCAATAAAATAGCGTAGCTTACAGCTAAAATAGCTACACCATATATTGTTTAGTTTTAGATAGGGGTCTTACTTGAAAGTTACTTGTTCTTTAAACGCTTGCCTGCAAACTAGCGCTCCTTCTAAAGTATATCGTTTATTGCGAGAAATATTATCACAGCCCCAGTGGTCGAGCAGGTAAGACGCCCGTCACGGATTGAGGGAGGTCCCAGGTTCGAATCCTGGTTGGGGTAATATTTTTCGCAATAAAAACTAATTTACAGGACGGGGAAAATGGGAGGAGGGAGGGGATTGAATGCTAAATATAGCATCGGAAAAAAAATGCGAATTACATTTGAAAAATAATCTTCGAATCGAATACGTGAATCTGCTGACGAAAATATTTCCACGTATATGATAAACTGCGTTATGTCCGGAAAAGAAATCGGCGCGTAGTACTAATGTGTTGAGATAGTGTTGAGACCAAGTCAAGTCAAAAAGTCCTCTACCATTTTTGCTTCCGACAAATAGTTATTGAGATATCGTAAGTTAAATATTGAAAAAGTTACAAAGTTTCATTTGAATATCTAAAAAAATATTAGGAAAATGAAAAATGTTTCAGACAAAAGTTGTTCAAATTAATCAATACAAAAAGATAGCTTAATAAAAAATAGGGGGTTCCATTTTAAGAAATAAAGTTAAACTTCATATGACCTTGGTACGTTTACTCAGGGTTAAACCAATGACACCATTTTATGTCCCCCTTCATACCAAACAACTTTTGTCTGAAACGTTTTTGTCTGCCGTTCTCGGATTTCGAGATATTTGGCTGATACGGGTGGTCTGGGACACCCTGTATAGTATATCACATGTGTTTTTGCGAAGTGTATTTTCAGTATCGGATATAATATATCATATAAACGTAATATTCTATTATTGTATTTTGTACTCTTACATCTATTGTTGCTTTATTATCACATATTATCATTAGTAGTAGAACACAGCCCGTCAATAGGAGAATGGAACGAATTATTGACGGGTAATGTACATATCACACGTGTTTTGATTTAATTAAAATGATAAACTAAAAAACTTATAAGTCTTTAAACTGTATAACTATTAGTCCCCGTCTACAATAGGTATTTTCGGCCCTATTGTAGATGAGGACTTAAAGTTTCAAGTATTTCTCAAAATAAATGAATTCTTAAACTTTTTAACTCTGTAACTATAAATCTTTAAAAGAAATAATTTTGTAAACTAAAAAATTTGTAAGTCTTTAAACTTTATAACTATTAAGGTGTGACGGGGGTAGCCGGGAAGGCGCGGCCGGAAGTGGCCGCATTCCTCGCATTCCGCGCATACCAAAGCCGCGGTTACCATAACAACGCGGAGGTGGCAACGCCGCGCCTACCCCCGCCGCCTCCACCCGCGCGCCCAGGCTCCAGGGGTATAAAAGCCCCTCCGGAGCAAACGCGAACACCCAGTCTTACCTCGGAGCACCGAGCGACGACACCCGGCAGCGGGTACCTCCGCTGCGGTATACGCCGGTATAACGGGTCCTGCCGTCCGGCGTTATACCATTCCGGGGTACACGACAGGTGGAGGCGCTGCTCCGTCGTGTGCTCCGGCCCTCCCGCAGTAGGGTACAAGAACGGGGTGCTGCCCGATGTACATCACTACTGATCCCCTACCGGTCTCCTTTCCGTCCGCAGTAGCGTACACAGTAACGGGGTGCTGCCCGGTGTACACATGCTACTGAGAACACACGCATAACGAGGCGCTACTCGGGCGTGTTCCTGACCTGAACCTATCCTTTTTCCTGACCCCCCGACCGGTATAGAACACAGGGGGGAATATTTGGGTGGGAGACGAATTATTAATTATCGATAGCCGTAAACTCCGTAACGTTAATCCTGTACTTTTGCTCCGTTTCAGAGGATCCTGTATAACATCCTCACCGACCGTTTCCCGTACTACCTGTCTTTTCTACGATTAATCCAACCGGCCGTATCTTTGTTATTTCGTGTTCCTACTCGGCCGCGTGCGAAATTACCACGATTTCCTTGTTTCTATCCATCGCGTGCGCAAGTACCACGATTTCCTTGTTTCTATCCGTCGCGTGCGCAATTACCACGATTTCCTTGTATCTATCCGTCGCACTAATCTTCTTTCTTTCTTTCTTTGTATTTACCTACAGGGCGGACTCTTGTAATTACTAATCCTTATTTCTTTTCCTCTGTATTTACCTATAGGGCGTACCTTTTGTAATTACCTCTATTCCGCTGTAGATATCCTGAATAAACCTTGTGCTTATTGTTATACCGAAAACTACCTGTAAGACTTATTTCCGATCCTTTCCAAGCGATTGACTCTATTAAGCGAATTAAAATCTACCTTGCCTCCTTTCCTCCCGACGGCCCTGGAGCTGAGCATATTCGGCAACAGGAGGAATGGAGGATCTATTCTAACCGACACACAGCACGTCAAAAAAACCGACCGCGAGAACGCTAGCTCCTCCAACCGTCAATCGGAACCGCGTGTCCGATTGAAAATAATTCCTGTCGGAATCCTGTCCGGAACCGGGAGGAGCTAGACCGAGATAATTACGTTCGTTACAAAGGCTTCAAATATTTCTCAAGTTTTATAAATCCTTAAACTTTGTAACTCGGTAACTTTAAATCCTTAAAAGAAATAATTTTACAAGCTAAAAAATTTATAAGTCTTTAACTTAAACTTCATGACTATTAAAGCTTCAAATTTTTCTCAAAATAAATGAACTTGTAAAAGTTTTATAAATAAACTTAAACTTTGTAACTCGGTAACTTTAAATCTTTAAGGCTCGATTGCACCAACGTCGCTTAACTTTAATCTTAATTCAACTTTCATTTCTTTCTAAGTCCTTAGAAAGAGATGAGGAGTAAGTAAAGCTAATATTAAAGTTAAGCGACGTTGGTGCAATCGGACCTAAGTAAGAGACAACCTTATTAAATAAATTCTTCATTTGAAAAAATGCTCGAAATGTTCAATAATACCTGTATAATATAATATAATATAATATAATATAATATGATACCAACAAATTGCGCCAAATATAACAACGGATAATTATACAAACTAGTTGCTTTAGTATTAGTTTTTGATTTAAAAATGTTATATTTTTTAAAAAACAAACTAAAGATTTTATTGGAAAAAATAATGGAATTAATAATAGAACACCGATGAAAAGAATAGCAACTGTTTAGAAATTTAGAAACTCTGTATCTATTCAGGCGAATTAAGGCCTGTATCCATGACGCTAGTACTTGGTCCAAATTCTAATTCCGCGAAATATGTAGCAAATCAATATAGCTGTTCCCCAAAAGCTGCAAGTTGATGGCTACGCATTTCTCAAAACTAGAACTTGGACCAAGTACTAGCGTCATGGACACGGGCCTTAATTCGCCTGAATAGATACAGAGTTTCTAAATTTCTAAACAGTTGCTATTCTTTTCATCGGTGTTCTATTATTAACTCCATTATTTTTTCCAATAAAATCTTTAGTTTGATTTTTTAAGAAATATAACATTTTTAAATCAAAAACTAATACTAAAGCAACTAGTTTGTATAATTATCCGTTGTTATATTTGGCGCAATTTGTTGGTATCATTACTTTTGTAGAGAAGATAGTTTTGTAGAGAAGATATTTTTGTAGAGACGATATTTTTGTACAGAAGATTTTTGTGGAGACACTATTTTTGTAAAGAAGATACTTTTGCAGTAAAGATATTTTTGTAGAGAATATACTTTTGCAAAAAAGATAGAGTAACAAAATATATTCAGGTGAATTGGAGCTTATACTTGGTGCTTTTTTACCTTTTTTTTAAAAGGTAAGTTTTTTACGTGATATCACACCTTTTGTAGTGTGTAATATCTCATAATGTACTCTTTACTTGGCACAAAACTCGACATTTTTAGAACTAAAAAAGCGTTGTTTGCACTGTGGCGAACTAACATACATACACTGAAGTTCAAGCTTACCGATAGTACTTCTTTGTAGATGCATTACTATCTGAAGTTGCATGCACATAGTCCTGGAAATACCGTCTGTTAGGGAACAGCGAGAACTTATTCAAGGTCCTCAGACATGCACATAGGCCTGGATATACCGTCTGCTAGGAAACAGCGAGAACTTATTCAAGGGAGTGGCACCCGTTTGGTCACGTTAATATTGACCACAGTCCCGATTGACCACGTTAATATCGACCACGTTGTGTATGACACCGTTGATATTGACCACGTTGCAATTGACCACGGTCCCGATTGACCACGTTGCAATTGACCACGGTCCCGATTGGCCACGTTGCAATTGACCACGGTCCACGCTTCCTACCGGCGGGGTGGGTGCAGGGAGGGGGGCCGAAGGCCCCCCGCGCGCGCGTGTGTGTGTGTGTGTGTACTTTTAGCTCGTGGTCAAACGGGACAGTGGTCAATTGTAACGTGGCCAATCGGGATCG